GGATGTTTGAAGTGACAATCAGAACTTGAAAGATTGCTAAAAGATCATAACGGAAATTGATGAAATATTGTGTATGGCACATTGTGAGTGTACATAAAACCCCTTCCTTCCCTGCAGGGGGAGCTATTAACCCGTGAAGCTTCATACTGCAAAAACAGCCCTACTAGAAACTAGCTAAATATCCTTATGTTTAGTTCATACTGCGTTAAGTACTCACTACTCGTTTGACATGAATTCTAAAAGGATAAAAATCCCTCAACAGCAGACAGAAAATCCTTATATTTAAATGTATGATCCTGCTGCTCCACTGCATTTGAAAGAAAAATAAGATGCTGCCATTTTGTATACTGTTACTAGGTAATACCAGCTCAATCTTAGCCAAAATAAACTTTTAAGAAAACTTTCAAAGTACTCTATAATATAGGATTAGTGTTCTGATCTCAAATATTCATTTTCATTTTGCCTAAAAAACAAACCTTCCCTGATGCAGGAGTTTGTACTTACCTGAAAGTTTTTTTGGTATCCAGTGACATCACTGTAACAACATTGCACAATATGATTTTTATCCTCTATTTGTTGATTTATTTTCAGTTTGAACAGGTAACAGATGATTGACTGACATAGGCCTTGGGGCCGTTGCTAAATACAACACAGCTCCAGACTGGTGGAGGTCTGTTCACCTCCCACGTCTTAATGCCACATTAATAACTTGGTAACATTACCCATCAATTTTACAACTTTACGTCCACGTTATCTAATATTTATAAAATTACAAACAGTTAAATAAAAATGATTTAGTGACAGCCTCTTGAAGCTTGGCTAAGCTAAGCTAGCATCTATCCCTAGCTTGTTACTTCTCCTTTGTTTTTTAACTGCAGCTCTCTACTTGATGAGAAAATGTTCCAATTACTTGTAAAATAAATGCAACCCTGCAGTTTTCAGACAGACCTTTTTGATTTTGTAGGGCTCTAAAATGCAGTAGGAGCAACTTGATGCACTTTTGTTGTAACACAGATGTGTTTTCAGCCTAATTAACAAGCACGTGCATGAATGATGTCTAATCCTCTTCTCTGTGTCTTTTTTTAGAGCCACACTGTTAGCCTTTTATCTTTACGATATTTAGACAGATAAATACCTAATTATAAATAACTAATCAAGTATTTGACACCTTGGAAAAATACTGAAATAAAATCTCCAAAGTGACAACAGTCTGCCCTGATTTTTCTTTTATATGATATTCTTTTCACACAGTTGATGGAAATCAGGCACGGTTCGCTTCAGAGGAAAGGTATTTGAGAGCGAGAATGTTGAGCCAGGATCAGTATTCTCTCAGGCTCTGTGTGAGTGTGGCTTTGTTCCAAAGTAGTGTGAAGAAGGAGGAGAAGAAGAGGAGATGGACAGGGAAGGGACGGGGAGGGGGGGCTCTTTGGCGAAGGTCAACGGGGTTAAGCCAATGGGAATTCTTGGAGTCAGGGGGTTGTGCCGAAAAGATGGTAAGACCCGGAGCTGTGATTCATGGCAAAGGCATCCCTCTATCCGTGTGTGTGTGTGTGTGGATGTTTACAATGACGTCATCCCATTAGTCCCCGGGCTGTCAGGGACTGACAGTCGGGCAGGGGCGCGCGGAGGAGCAGCGTTTTGGTTTGAGAGTGATGGACTGCTGTGGAGGAGGCGGAGCTGCTCTCTGAATGACAGGTGCCACGCTGGTTATTGTGCTCATGGGAAGTGGATTCCAGGCATTGTTGACTGTCTGTGCACTGTTTGGCAGGAGAATGGGACTGAGGCAGAGTGAACCCTTCCTCTGTACTTTTATTTCTTCAGCTTCTCTGGCGTTGGATGTCTGGAGCTTTTGTTTTATTTTAATCACAGTTTACTTTATATAGTCGCCCCTCTGCTACCGTCTACTCCTCTCCACTGCAGGTTAATTGAAGGGATTTGCTGGGGGAGGCTGGGAAGTGAGCCGTAACTATCAATATGGACCCCAAAACCCTCTTATACTCCTCCACCAGCAGCTGCCGTGGCTAAACATAGCTTTATGGTGCTAATGAAAATGTCTCATTCTCCACCTCTAACCTGTGCTTACATACGGCTGTAAAGTTTTATCTGGTCATTAATGTGGAGTCCAGCCTGGTTGAAGATGCTTTAATCAATGCTGTACATGAATAATAGATCCGATGACCTGCCGTAAACAGGGACAAACCTGCGCAACTTCTTTTCTTGTTTTCTCCTGCACTCTGCAGCTGTG